GTTCTGTGAGCGAAGTGACCGTGGTGGCAGGTAGAGAGGAAGGTAGATAGGTAAGACTGGGGCAAGGTTGTGGAGACACTTGTAGGCGAGCAGGAGGAGTTTGAAGTCTATTCTTGATGTTATGGGAAGCCAGTGGAGAGATTTTAGTACAGGTGTAATTTGGTCAATTTTCTTTGTCTTGGTTGCTATTCTGGCTGCAGTATTCTGCAGAATCTGGAGACGTCTTATTTGCTGCTGAGAGATGTTTGCCAAAAGAGAGTTACAATAGTCGATCCGTGAGATTACAATTAATTTAGTTTCTGCATTTTGGCTTAGATAGTTCCTGATTTTACTGATGTTTCGCAGATGCAGATTTGCAGTTTTTGTGATATGTGAAACTTGATCTTTCATCATAAGATGTTGTTCCAGCCAGACTCCAAGGTTCTTGACCTTAATTGTTGTTGTGACAGTGGCATCTCCTATGATGATAGACACAGGTTGTTTAATCTTGCCAAATTTTGATTTTGGAGCAATGAGAATGAATTCGGTTTTTCCTCGTTCAACTTTAGGAAATTGTTTTGCATCCACTGTTTGATGTCTGAGCAACAGGATTGGACTTTGCCTAGGCATGATTTTATAGTGTCAACGTGGGTAGATAGATACAGCTGATTGTCATCGGCGTATTGGTGCTGGTTTACCCCATACTTTGAGGCAATAGCACTGAGCGGTAAGGTGTAGAGGGTGAATAGTACCGGACCCAAGACTGATCCTTGGGGGACACCCTGTTGAAGAAGCTCTGGCGATGATGTTTCTCCTTCAACCACAATACGCTGAGATCTATTACAGAGGTATGAAGTGAACCAGGTTAGGACCTTTCCTTTGATGCCGAGATCATTTTCCAGTCTTGATATTAACATTTCATGACTAATGGTATCAAAGGCCGCGGAGAGATCGAGGAGAATGAGGGATGAAACCTGGCCCTTGTCTGCTGCTATGTGTAGATCATTTGTAACCTTTAGAAGACCAGTCTCAGTACTGTGGTAAGCCCGATATGCGGATTGGTGTTTCTCTAAAAGATTGTTTGCACTCAGGTATGAAGACAGGCGGGTGGACACAGCTTTTTCAAGAACTTTTGACATATAGGGGAGGTTCGAGACCGGTCTGTAATTCTTCAATTGGTTCTTGTCTAATCCAGGCTTTTTCAGTGAAGGTCGAACGATAGCCTCTTTGAATGAGAATGGCACAGATCCAGTTGATATTGATAGATTGATGATTTTAGTTGTGGGTCCGATAAGGGTATCCAAACATTCTAATAGAATAGTGGTAGGTATTGGGTCGAGTTCGCAGCTTTTCGATGGCAATGTCTTGATGATCTTAACCTCCTCTGATGTAAAAGGTTGTATGTCCAACCAGGTATGATCAGGTTCGCATTTGTCATGAAGGTCGAACGATAGCCTCTTTGAATGAGAATGGCACAGATCCAGTTGATATTGATAGATTGATGATTTTAGTTGTGGGTCCGATAAGGGTATCCAAACATTCTAATAGAATAGTGGTAGGTATTGGGTCGAGTTCGCAGCTTTTCGATGGCAATGTCTTGATGATCTTCTTAACCTCCTCTGATGTAAAAGGTTGTATGTCCAACCAGGTATGATCAGGTTCGCATTTGTCATCCGCGAAACCTGCGGATTCGCATTTTTCCTGCACGATGAGAAACAGACAATTTCAGTCTTAGTGCAAGTAAGTTTGCACGCATCCAGAGACGAATCTCACCTATACAGGCCTCAGAAATCGAGTCCTTTCGGGAGTCACAAGTGATGTAGGGCTGGATGTCATCAGCGTATATCCCAGCATTTAGACCATGGCGGCTGATAATGTCCTCGACTGGAATCATGTATAATGCAAACAGAACCGGTCCTAGGACCGAGCCCTGGGGAACACCAAATACTAGGTGATGGTCCTCCGACACCACCGATCTAACTGACATTCTTTGTGTTCTTCCTCGAAGAAAGGAATTGATCCAATCGTAAGCCTGACCACAAACGCCAAAACGTTTACGCAATCTGTTCATGAGGATGTTGGAATATGTTTACTTTAACCAATCTATTGTTGTTTCCTGATGTGAATATCATCATATACTGCTGTTTACTGTAGTGTTAGATTAAAATGTTCTGCTTAGGCTAAGCGTAGATAAGAAATGTCATGGAGGATGGGGGTATGGCAAGGGACAACTTACATGTATAGTCGTTCGGGTGGGATGAAAAACTGAGGTTCCGTGTACACATAGCCGTATGTCCGCCTTCATTAGCCCAGTCGGTACAGAACAGTAGGACGTTAAATCCATTTCCTATGTGTAAACTCTGAAATGAATATCGGTCAGAAAATGGTTCAATTAAGTTCCATATTTACAAAAATATGATGATTTGAAAATATGTCAACATCCGACGCCCTCTGCTGACGATAAAAACCTTGAAATTTTGACTTTATTTTCTTAATTAAATGTTAAATTATCATTTTCTTAATTAAATGTTAAATTATCATTTTCTTAATTAAATGTTAAATTATCAAACTGAGGACACTAAGCGCTGTAAAAAAGATATTGTCCGATAAATCGGAATGACGATCACTTGTTTTTAGGCGACTCAATGTACACCAAACCATAATAATGGGTACCATATTGATTCTTCATTCCAGAACTATTGGTTACGAAGTCAAAGAGACCACAAAAGGTAGCGGTTTCAGACTTTTGAACAGTGAATGAAAGATGAGGTGGTACATAAACAGGCGCAATGCAAAGTAGAGCCAACGGTAATATATTCCGGTGGGTCGTCTGAATATGGTGCGGAGTCTTTTTGGATCAGTTTTTGTTTGGCGTAAGTCATACTAAAAGTCAGGTAACCGTTATCCAGGTTAGCAGCTTCTAGAAACGAAAAAGAATATTCTTACATGACATGGCGTTCAAATTACTTAATGCGTAATACTGATTGGTTCTAATCAGGGTTGAAGTATTAAAATTCATAAATCCGTCAGAATTATACTCTGTTTAGGTTTAATCAGCCTTCGGTAATACAAGGATCTATTTTTAAAGCGTATTCAAACATAATGAATTCACAAAGAATGTGCTGCAAGCGCATTTTATTTTCCTTACCGCTTGACAATGGATGGTCGTTACAAGATTCCACTATTGATTCTTTTATCACCTTCTCTGGAACTTTTTCATTAAATAAAGCAAGGCAGCTAAGGTGGCCTCTAATGTTGTATTGAGATCGTGTTTCTCCTCCAAGTCTTGCGCTCTGTAATCCCGTATTCTCTGTAGGTAAACATGTTGATGATAAATATTGTTTCTCATGATGCAGATATACGATCAGCTTCTTACAAGATGCAACCCTTTGAATGAACAGCAGGTGCCAATCTACGGAATCAATACCACCAAACACCAGTGTCTCACAGTCGCTGACAAATGATACAAAGATAATGATTTTCTCAATAAATATTTTAAGACTTTCCTCGGTCTGTAGTTCAGCAAGAATATGGTATCTGCTGCATATTTGGTTGGTCGGATGAATATTCCGAATGCAATGTCTGAATTAGCATGTCTATTAAAACGTGTAGTAGGCAAGATCCGTCAAAGAAAAACAGAAGCATTACTCACTAATCATTCCATATCAGAAAATATCTTTGGAGCAAGTTTACTATTCCGATCCAGCTTCCACAACTGTAAAACTGTTTGCAATGTGTCTGGGCCTATAAATGAGAACATACAAAATAAGAGAGAGAGGGTTTAACGTCCACTCGACACAAACTAGGTCATTTCAGGACTAACATGGTTCAATTGTATTTCATTAATTCGCTTGCGCGCACGGGTGTCACGTGCAATCGGGAAATCTAAACCACGCCAGTTGACTCAATGACAGACCTTATGATGCAACGCTCACGCGCTAACAATTTGGCCACCCAACATCCCCGCCCAACACGTGGGATAGATAGAATATGTATATAGCTTAGTAACATTTAGTATATACTTAAGCCTTGTCACCAGTAAACATCATATGACCCTTCTTATGAAATATGTGTTTATAGACCGGGAATATAAGGTGGTGGTGGAGTACCTAACGCGTATACTTTAGATCATAAGGGCTGTCATCGATTGAAATGCTCATGGCCCCGAATCCCACGACTGCCTAACCTCGTGGGGTTTATCCCACTGTGTACAAGTGAACAATTGGAATTACAAACGTTAGTACCGAAATCGCATAAATTGTGTTTAGTGAACGTTAAACCACAGTTCTTTATATTTCTTGTAAACATAGACGTGGTATATTTATGATTTTGTTTAGCGCGTCTTTGTGATTTGACTTTCTAAACACATCGGTCACAAACAGTATTCGATTTAAACACACAACTGTTAGTACTATGTGTGGTTTAATGGTCGAGAGTGAGACATTAAGTAATATATTGATACTTCACGAGGCGTTAGCGGGGTGCTGTTTCAAAATATTACGCAATGTCTTTAGCCCGAGACCATTAAAGAACTTAATATACAGACACTATCCCGCACGTGCTTTTCAATGAAATACGTCACGTGAGTCCAATATTGCATCTAGTATAGATAATGTACGATTGGCAAGTTGTCCGTACATTATTGGAAATAATGGCACGCCAACATAAAGGATGACGTCACATCTGTATTTTAAATTTACTTACTCACCTGCAGATCCCGATCCATCTTCAGCACATTATTTTTGAGCGCATCATCAAATGAGGTAACGTGATCGGCTTGGTACATTGATAGGCAAGCAAGTCGACATCTAATGATCTACCGATACGACGTCTCCCATATAAATAAAATTTCCTGTCTTTGTGATCTGCATAATTATTAATTTTATATTCTATTTTTTCGTTACCTGCACCCAAAATCTCCATTTTCCCATCTTGCTATATTAATCATTATCCACTGTCGTAACGGCATTACTTCAGGGTGTCTTAAGTCTTAGAATCAGTATTGTGTTCTGTTTTGAAGAATGTAGTAATAATGCCTTGTGTCATTGATACTTGGATTTTGTTTATACAGCTATTAGTTTCGTAATTAGATTGAAACCGCAGCAAAGTTGCAGTGTCATTTTCAGTATACACAAATATAGATACCATTTTCTTAGCTTCCCAAGAGAGTTCTGTTTCCACATAACTTCTTCGTTTACCGGTTTATTCTAATACATCAAAAGAATAATCAACACCATGGCTACCAGACATGAAAAGTCCACCAGCCTTGTGAAACATTCGGCACCAGTTTGACTTATAGAAGGCAGATTATGTCATAGTGTAACTCAACGGCCATATCCATCGCTTTCGCTAGCCTTGATTTGTATGGCCAATTCTGTCAAACGAAATATTGAAACAATGTTGTTTAATTTTACAAAGATTATCATTTTTGGTTCCTGTTATATATGCTTGCTAAACATCCCTCTTTATCTTAAGAGATTTTTTTTAAAATTTTAGTAAGGCATTTAAAGTCTCTACACGTCATTCGCGTTGCTGGTAGTCCCCTGCAAACTAAGATAAAGTCAAAAATGGTTCGATTCCCTTCAGTATTTACAAAAAATGTGATGAATTGGAAATTTAGCAACATTCGGCGATAAAAACTGGATATGGTTAAACGGACGAAATCCAGAATGTACAAAATCAAAAATGTAAAATTATATCTACAGTTATATTATTAAAGGTGCAGATGTAAGATTTAGATAAATCCGTTCTTGCTATTACATTTAAAAAAAAATAGATAACGCAAAATGAATATGTTGAAAATTTATTTCAAATTACTTTATTCTGATAGAATTAAGTTATGGGTGTTTGAAGATCTAAAGAGTTGATTTGAGGTTTGCCATGTCATGTTGATAAATGTCTGAAATAATAACTTATATAACATTTATAACCAAAATAAAGACCTTACAATAGGCAGATTTAACTCTTACATAAAGCATCTTTAAATAATAAATACAGTAGATGGTTGTTTAGTTTTGACTAAACACATGCCGTGTGCAATAGCCTGATTGTTGTAGAAAAAAAATCCACAATGCATTTCAATTATGATGAATTTTGCGCTGCCATGAATTAAGCAGCTTGTTCAGTCCTAGTTTGCAAATATTTTGATCATTTTTAAACGGGTCACATTTTCAGCAGTGTGATGTTTAAGAGAAATTTTAGGGGGCGGGGGGATGAGGCAGTAGCTTTGATTCCGGGGTGACGGCGGTGATGTGAGGCTTGGTTCCTGGTCCATCGTACGCTTGTACTTGTTTACCAAGCGGGGGTATCCGATGGGACTTTAAGACATCGGTAATTGACACAATTGGAAGTTGGTTCACTTAAGACCTTACACCATAATACTCTCACCTGCTATTGTCAGTAATGAATATAAGGAAAAGCTCGAATTAGAAAACCGTCGTGGCTGAAACATCTTAAGAATGAATTCCGATGAAACACTATTAACCTAAATATACAACACTTTTTTTTAAATAAAAGTTTTACAACATAAACATTTTAGCTTTATCCCACATTCCCAAAATAAATGTGTTACTTGCCAGGGAAAAGCACGCCGGAAAATCCGGAGAAACATTCTCGGCCAACACCGGGAGAGAACCAGTTAAAAATCCAAATACAGTGTTGAAATCACGGCTGATTATTCACGGTCTATAGTATGTATTGTATGTAGTTGGATGAAAATGACAATAAAATTTATTGCTTTGCTTTATGCATGTTTAGTGCCTAGCGAACACGACCAGAAGAGCCGCCTTTGCTTATGGTGCAGAAGAAATCGTGCCAAACATTATGCCCGGTTCCAATTATCACGATTCGCGCTACGATTGAAATCCTGGTTGTAATGGTGGTGATCCTATCAGGTCTTATCATATATTATGGTCAGTATATATATAGCAATCGTGTTAATTGTATCGAAAAGTATCAGCATGAATCTGCACGTACCAGATCGTGGACTCAATTCGGACAAACATATCGTAACGCATCGCACGACAGTGGGAACCTAGCATTAGCAACAGAAGATCACGAATACGAATGACTCTCGCACCCATCTTAAGTATGAGTGACCATCACTTCAATGCGCATTCAGTGTGGCGCGTTTCAATTTAAATTCAATCCGAATAAGCTGTAATGTGACGCACAGCTTTTGATCAAACCAATCTGAATTCCGGAGATAGGTCTCCGGAATTCGCAGTGAATGTGCATGCAATGTGAACGCGGCTTTAAAGCAGAAACGAATTTATAAAAGAGTTAATGCTGAAACAATGGCAGCAGTAGAGCCTCCAGTCAAACGCGGGTTGCTTTCCCAGTGGTTTGGTTCTTTGCCGCCTGTTTCAGACGTGAGCTGAGCGGGTCACCTGTACTCGACTAAATCTCAAAGTGTTCAGTTTGTCTGTGGTATTACGCAAACCAGTATCTAACTAAGGAAGTAATTAGAAATTCCTCTCATTTTATCCCCAAAAATGAATTATACAATTTTTTTAAAATTACTTCGTTACCTTATAATGCAACATTTTACTTTGCAATGATAAGAAATGTTACTTATGCTTCTCAAGGATAAACTTTAGTGCCCTGCGTTCCTTTTAATTATGAAAGTTTGTCTCCAACTAAGGAAATATGTAAAAATGTCTTACCTCTTATCCTCAAAAGATGAATTTACGGTTTGTATATGTCAGAAAATGCAAATTAGTTTAATTACATTATAATAATTTTCTCTGGAAACGGAAAGTGTGAATATAAGAAAGGGTACTCGCGCAGCTCAGTCAGAGACGATAGTGCTCTTTGTCCCTTTTATTTATGGAAGTTGGATTTTAATTTGGAAAATCAGTATTTGAATCTCAAAGACAAATTCTCGGGCCATTATGTTTATAAATGCTCAACATTAATTTCATTCTCAATAATATTTCAAAATGAAAAACATTGATCTACTTTTTCTATGCAAAGAAAGTTTTCAATTAAAACTGTTTAACCGGATTAAGCCGAAACAGAAAATTTTCATGTCAACACATTAAGTCCACTTCTTGTTTTGGTATGAACTAAGGGTAAATTTATTGCATATTATTGTAATGTACTTCAAAGTACCCGAAACAATAAACCCTGGTGTAGAAAAAAGATCGATTTTATTATGGCTAATAATTGTAGATTCTAATTCCGGTAACAAATGGGAAGTTGAAATGAATCGACAGAGGCATTCGCATTCGTATAAGAGACATTCACCCAGCGCAGATATATGATAAATAATCAAGTAATACATGATCAGGAAGCCCGTTTATATTAAAATTGGCCCCCGAAACAGGCCATTAAAGGGGGAGACCAACGATTTTCAAAAATTCACTTGTTTAAATTTTTTTTAATAAAGGTTTATTGCCCTCTCATTAGGCAATTTGAGTTTATGGGGTCAACCAATCTGATTCAAATTAAATGTCAATGACATTTTGTTTTACTATTGGCATTAGACTGGCCTCCAGTCTGTTGAAATTCTAGTTATCTAAGTATATCGGGGTTTTGGGGGTGTTTCAGTTTTCATAGACTAGGCGAGCAGAAAAAATCTTACTCAACATTTCCGATAATGATATCTCACATGCTAATGGGACATCAGTCTGAAGATTAACTATATTCTATTAGTTTACAAGATATTTAGTGGTTTTTAATGAATTTAAAGGATGTGTAGCTCTATCGTTGGACATAAGTGTATATAAAGTGATTTACATTCCATTTAAAACAAAAAGAAAATGTTTAGTCCATTCTACGCGGGTTTTTTGAATTACTATTTTGTGGTTTGTGAATTAACCATTTTAATTACTTCCCACTGTATTTTATTTTCATTGTTCATTATAAGTGACGTTCGAATTATTATGCCCATAGAATACACGCCGTCGTGTACTAATTTTAAAATGTGCATTGTGTCTTAGATATGATTGATCTCATATTTTTACGGTAAGACAACAAGTGAGCAACATGAATTCTTGTTTATAATTTCGAATATTATGGATAATACTGAGTTGATGATTTAGTTCCTTTAAGGCCACATAAGGGCCATGCCACGTCTATATACATGCGAAGCCATACATAAGCGTGTGTCCATCGCGATTATTAATCGCCCACACAACTGAATAATGAGTTACTTACATGCATTAAGCATATTTAGAATGCTTCCGATAAGTGGGTTAAATCATTTCATTTTGGCGTTTGATTTGCATAATTAAATTCAATTTTATTGACAATGTCTTGTGAAATATGGGGCTGTCCCTCAAGACAAGTTCAGAGTATCTCATCCTCTCGAATTTTTACAATTTATCTCTACATTTCGCTTGGCCATTTTTATTCAAATACAGCGGGTAAAGCCTTGAAGGGTACCAGGTAGAAGCACGATATGATTACGTGGCTCGTGGTAGTGATCTATTAGCTGATACACTTGGTGTTGTAAATGCTGCCAGATTCATATGTATTGCTTTTTTGTGTGAAACGTTTCAATGATTTAAAGGTTCAAGGTCTGTAGAGATAAATACACATTTATATCCATATTATCAATTCCATATGCTTGTCAAGTTGGTACTTCTGACATGTATTAGAACTAACATAACACATTCAATAAAATATTGTCCATTGTTTATCGCTTATGTGAGATTTTACAAAAAGAATTGATTAATATGTGTTGTAAATCCTGTATCGTGTATTTTCTTGTTTCATTTCCCTTTAGTTTTTGGCATGATAGTGGGTGCGGGGGCTGGCAAGATCAGTGTCTCTTCGGCTCGGTATCGAACCGTTCACAGTTGGAATTAGATGTCCTAGCAAAATTATCCCCATAGCATACTGCATGCATGGCGTACACCCGTCTTCGGGAGATAGTGTAAAACTACTAATTATTGCCTGGTAAACTTCATCGCTAGGGCGTATATGAGCCTGTAGCTTTCTGTTTTACCATTCTGCGTAGCCCAACACTTATATCAACGACTGATCAAAATCTGAAAGGAGTTGACACCTAATAACACAAGAGTTGTTTCACTTTGGCTAGTGTATATTATAAGAATGGGAGATTTTGCCTTTAAAGAAATCTTTGGCTAGTATGTATATAAGAATGGGAGATTTTGCCTTTTAAAGGAATCAATGTAAGTTATGTTAAATAGTTGAAAAAAATTAACACCGTTGGTGCAAAACAATGGGTCGGTAAAAACACCATTCCATGGCCAGTTTAACGTCTACTGACCAGAAGCTTGGTCTTTTAGGGGATAACATTTGGTACAATTTTATTTCAATAATTCGCATTGGCGTGAGGGGTTTTATCAGAGGGGAAAAACCGAAGGACCCTGAGAAAGCACACGTGGTTAGGCAGGGGAACATATTCTTAGATTGATACAAGTGTAGGATCGAAACCACTCCATATGACAGACCTGGGGCTAAATTTTGTCTATTGCTAATATGACTTAAATTTGCCTTTTGCACCCATCACAATACGTGATCGATACTATTTCGTTATCCCCCTTTCTTAATTCTACCAATGTCAACAGAGCCATGGCATTTCAAAATAATTGTATATTATGCCTATAAGGTATCGGGTGGTTATTTCCAATAAACGTATGGCTATTTTGGTATATATGGAAAGTAGAGATATCCAATCTTACTAGAAAAATACTGGATTCCCCGAAAAACACTCATTGAGCGTATACGGGACAAAAATGTAAGGGTTCCCCTAATCGACAGCCCGACGATTAGGAATTTCTGCACGCGTGATGTGAAAGGTCACACGCGAACATTGAGCACTTGATGTTCAAGTTGATAAACTTTATGAAGAGTTAGACGTACAACACTTTCTGAGATAAAAATGATGGAAAAAGACGCGGGTAGTGGATAATCCGAGAATTTAATTAGGATTCGATATTTGTAATAAATAGTAAGCGATTAAAGACAACATCGTCTTATGTATGCAATAAATTCTCCTCTGACTTCCAAGAGAGGTAATTCACGTGACGTAAACATGACCTAGTTTGATCGAATTTTTATAGCAGGGCATTCCTTCGCAATTACAATGTTTGAGAAGGATTCGAAGCAAAATTATGACAAATTAATTAGTTTGAATATGTTTTTAGTCCATATATACCATTAAATCACCCAGTTTGTACGCGGGAATGTATCTTTAAATCTGATACTCAGATGATGATGATGATGATGGTATATGGCCAGGAAAACAATCGGTATAATACATCATTACAGATGCATTATGTAAGATTTAGATAAAGAGCTGGCTGCTCTTGCTATAATAGCTTAAAACTATATAATGAAAAATTAAAATATTGCGAATTTAATTCAAATTACTTTATTCTGGGCGCATTTATGAAAGTTTGAAGTTCTGTAAAGAAATAGCGTAAATAGTCTTGATTGGCAAGTATCATTGATGCGTAAGTAAGCCAAGGTTTTTTCTGTCTCATTTTAGCTTTTTATGAGGATATGGCAGATATTGTCTAATCCACTTAATATCTCAGCCATCCGATAATCGAGAAGGTCGCTTATGAGCTGATTATAGGTCTAATTAATAATTTATATAACATCTGAAGCGAGAAAAAAGACATGAAATAGACAGATTAAGCTCTTACATAATCCATCTTTAAGGCGCATAACTATCGTTAAGGTAATTTTTCATCTGACATTTATTTGCATTAGGGTGATGGTGGTAACGCTGGCAATCGTCAATGGTGATAGCAGCCACCTAGAGACGAATGACGACAATGACGGCGGTGCTAATAAAGACAACATTGTTGTTATTTTTTTCATATGCTTTGATGTTTATGGCAAATGTCTTCTTTATTCACAAGGCTAAGAATTGGAGATATTTTTTCTCATTTTGAACTTCTTACTTGTTTGAACTTTCCCGGATGATGTACCATAAATTGTCATATCCTTTTTTCATACGGATAAGAATCAGATAGATTTTAGACTACATACGCCTTTGTACATTCTCATATCACAAATTGAAACAATCCACATTATCTAACAATCATCTCGTCACCTGATCAACAAATTAAGAGAGATGTCATTCATTACCTGATTACGCACCTGGCCACGCCCCTCCTTTTGCCCAATCTGATCACCTCAAGAGGTGTGTTAACATTAAACTAACGGTGTTTGACGCCAACTTATCAACGCACGATCAGACAATATCTTAATACTGATAAATGACTATATGATAGACTATGGTACAATAGATTTCCCATAGATATTCTCTGTTTTCGGATATTTTTTTCCATAATCTCAGTTTACAATGCAGAAAACTTCCAAAAAGTCGTCAAAGCTCTCCCAGGATTCAACCGAGCCGCAAAATCGTCCAAGAATTGATCCAAGGTAAGTTGAGTAAATAATTATAAATTAAAGGTTTTTTTTTATTAAATTTTTCATTTAAATACGGTTATGTTGATGATTTTCCAAATTGTACTCTGGCTGCGATTTTGATATTTGAAAATAGTGTACGGGAGTCATTTAAAACAGAAATTATACTCTAAAACATAAGTTATTCTTAAAATTGTAACAATTTATTAATCATTCTCCCTGCATTTGAAAAATTGTCTCTAACAGCAAACATATCCTCATCCTGGAAAGAAAATGATAGTTCCACAAAATAGATAACTATAAAAACGAACGTTAATATGTCAGCTTGACAATAACAATCCAGCAATATTATCCAGAAATTGTAATGTTTAACTCATCATACCATAGATATTAAAGGAGTCCGGTTTTCTTTCTGTATTTCTAATATCTTGGATGGTTTATATATATAAGGATAAAATGGGTTCGTGTAGAGTCTAGTGGTGTTCGTGTTGATTTGAATCAGAACTCCCAACACGAAACACTTGAAATTTGCATTTAATACTCACGTATTCGTATATTAACTTAACGACATTCGTGTACCTTCCCTATTTAAGTAGTTAATATAATAACAAGTTTTTGTCATAGTCTTTTTGGTAGAGTACTTGAGTCCACTTTTAAAACGGAATAATTAAGATTCCACCCCAAGCTATTTGATTATATATTCCATTGCCAAATTTGCATAATTACTTAAAATATGCAGAGTCAAATGCTCGATAATTTTAAATCTTTAATAAAAAATAATAAATATATTTCAAAATTCTAAGTTTATTGATTCATTTATGCACAAATTTGCTTCATTTAGATCAAAACAATTTTAGTTATTAATGCTTCTACATAATCCTATTTACACATATTTGTCATTTTTTAAAGTCAATAGCCCAAAAAAGGGACGAATTGCAATGGAAAACGAATTACTATTTCCATTTAGAAAATATATATTTCGCTCATTTTTCCGATTTCACTGGAATTGGAATTATTGGTTCTTTCTGGATACTTTATTTTATATAAAAAATACTGTTTCTCATTGATTAAGCTTCAAGTCGAAACGGTACAGAGACAAGTTACGGTGTGAAATTAAATTACTGGAATCGTTGTTACCAGTAGATAGAACATCTTTAAACAGAAAACTAGACAGTCAAACAGTCTTTAGACTAGTCTTATCCTATTTTAGATCTAAGCTCTTCTTTAAAGGTAAATATACTATTTCATATTATTGTAAATTATTACAATAAACGCATTATTGGTATTGTTGTATCTTTATGAGTTCCATGTATGCTGCTCAATATTTCAAGGAGTAGGTTGGTTTAAGCCCTAGTAGTAGACTAAAAAAAGATTTTCCTTTTTTATGTAAAACAAAATTAGTTTAAAATTCTTTACCGGTTTAAAAAAATACCGGGTTACTGCCATCTTTGCCTTGATGTTTGTGGATTGAAAAGAGTTATCCTTCAGGGGTCAAGTGTTTAGAACAAAAGCAAAAATGGCGACATGAAACCAAAAGAAATTAATATGAACTTTAGTTCGTGTATTGATTGCTCTTAAATTTAAAAGTAATTTGTTGTTGGTTTTATTTTTTTGATTATGGGTATGGTTTGATTTTCGCTTTAACCAAACATCATCTGTATAAATTATGATAAATTTATGAATTTCAGCCGCTCATTTTCCCGAGACTACTCAAGCAAAATATGATCAAACAGATGATGCTAATCATATACATGAACCTGATGAAAAACAGATTTTACAGGTAATTTGCTTACTATTATTGAATTGAAAATTGTTTTTTTACATTTAATTGCTACGATAAGACTATTAATTTCAAGAGTTGCTTGTAACTGATCAGTGAATATTTTTTTTCTAATTGTCTTGTTTTCACCACACAGTTCAAATAAGGTATGTTAAATTAGATTGTGCTGAAACGTTGAGACAAATAGACTTTTTAAGATTTAAATTTGGACAATTTCACCCAGGATTGTATATAATAAAGTGCGTCTAGTGTTATTTTCAATACGAGATACAAAATAGAGCGATTAAAGAATCCTAACAGACTATCTTACCTGTGTGAAATACGGCAAATTTATTGTTGAAATAATAAAAGTGTCTCATTGATCTTGTCAACTTTGGGTCTAATAAAACGCACCCCACAACAACATAGCTCACCAACAATTCATCAAGTGGTTTGAAATATTCCATTGGTGCCCTTTTAATGGTTGACGTTTTGAACATTATCTATCAAAATAGCCACCTAAAAGAAACGTTTTGGTATTATAACCAAGCAATGATGCTTTGAAGTATTTAATAGTATGTGCAGGAGGGCCGCACTTTATGCAAAACAAAACCGATAAGATAAACCTGCGGACATGACAAACTACATAGACATTGCCAGAAATAAACAACAAATATCAAATTTAAATAAGGTATATGTGAGAAGGTATTAAAACCATCAGAAAGTAGGATAAATATAAGGCGAAGAATAAGCAATAACCCGCACATTGCACTATTATCTTCTTATAAATTGTGTGTGTTCTGTGATTATCGAACTATTGTTGACTTTCTCATTCATAATCTCTATTGTAATCAAACCCTATAATCGCAGATTGAAACAAGGCTTTTTATTTGTCTATTCAATATTGACTTCAGCCAATAATTAGTCAACTTATGTCTATCCCTCATAGATGACGAACGACTTGCTGGGTAAATATAGCAGACGTCAAATACGCCATCATTTCTGTCAGTTTGTCGGGTTGGTTTGATGGCGGAAATACAAACACGCGTTTAGTTGCCGAGTAACAAATATCACTTTTGGCATCTCTATCTCGAAATCCTTTATGTTTATTTGTACAGGACTTATAGGTTTAGAAACCAGTTAAGTATAAAATGACTTGAAATGTGAATGTTGATATAAATTTCAGTATTAATGGACACCAATGGGATAGACACTCAACCGTTATCTATAGTTGTTTACTTAGATCAATATAAAACAATGACCAGAAAACAATTGTATTTGATTTCAAATTAATCATACCACATGCCCTAATTTATCTTAAAACATGAATAAAAACTTGATGATCATGAAAGTCAATTTGGGTAGAGACCCTTTTCAGCCCCAAGAACCCATATTAAGATCATTTCTTTTGTCTGGCAGTTTTGGTCCGATTTTCACGAAATTCAAACCCGGTCATTAAGGTATAACGGTGATATATTCGAACATTTTTAAATCGGATAAAAATTTTGACCCCTAGAGGGACCACACGCTTCAAACGCGATTTTTCGTTCAATCAGGGACCATGGTCCAGAAAGTTACGATCCACTATGCGCGAATATTGAAAGGAACTGACATCTTTGGGATATAAAAAAACATGTTTAAGTTTCATCAAAATCGGATAAAAATTCTGACCTCTAGAGGGTCCTTAACCTTGATATTACATACTTTAACACTATTTGCCTACAAGGAGCGGTCATTTTGTCCGGCAGTTTCGGTCCGATTTTCACGAAATTCAAACCCAACCTTCATTATGGGGGCCACGGTGGCTAAGTGGGTTAAGAACCTGGCTCAATAACCTGGAGGTCGCGTGTTCGATTCCTGCATTGGCCGAGAAAGTTCATCGGGATTTTCCGACGTGGTTTCCCCTTCTCAGTGGTGTAGGAATGAGGTGCTGAGAAGGACATCTGTCTAGTCGTTCGGATGGGACGAAAAACCGAGGTCTCGTGTACACATTGGCCATAGCGCCGCTGCCCGGACAAAATTTCACTAATAGCACACTGTATGGCGTATATCCGTCTTCATTGGCTCAGTCGGAGCAGAACAGAACAGAACAGTAGGACGTTAACCACCATTTCATTTCATTTCACCAACCCTCATTATGATGTAACGGTGAAATATTCGAACGGTTTATTTTAAATCGGATAAAAAATGTGACCTCGTTCAGTCAGGCACCACAATCCAGGAAGTTACAGTCCGATATGCGCAAATATTGCAACGAATCCAGATGGTTGAGTTATAAACATATATTTCAAGTTTCATCAAAATCCGATCAAAATTGTGACCTCTAGTCTTCCAAAGCTAAAAACATGATTTTTCGTACAATCAGGGTCATAATAAATGCCAATATCAAAAGGAACCGAAATCTATGAGAGATAAACCTATATTTCAAGTTTCGTCAAAATCGGATAAAAATGTGACCTGTAAAGTGGCAACAAACAAATTGTGGACGGACGGACAGGGGCGACGACAATATACGTCCACATGGAAATCTAAGGGGTAATCAAAGACAAAATATTCATTAAACGGAAAACAAAATACAGATTCGTATGTAAAGAACTGTTGTTTTTTTTACATAATAAAATACGTCAATGTGCGTAGATAATGGAAGTTATGTTAAAATTTATTATTCATTATTTATATTACACCATAGAAATATTTTCAATTGTAGATTCTTGATGGATTTGTGTTATTATTAACATCAGATGGTACTGTTTTGTATGTGACTGATAATGTTCTACAATATGTGGGATTCAATCAGGTTAGTTGCGATACAGCCTGGTGGACAGAAACAAAATCGGAGCTTATTATCACACTGAAATATGTATTTCAATGAAAAACTATGAAAATATTTACGTGTTATTTGCTTTTCGTAATAATGAACAGAGTTAATTTCAGTATGCGACCTTTGCTGTCCTTTACGGTGGAATTCAGTATTGTTGACTCGCTCGGCAGTTGACTCCGAATTACCTGGGATGGACTACTTTTAACTGCGTTCACACTGCATGCGCATTCAATGCGAATTCCGGAGACCGGCCTCTGGAATTCGGATTGGTTTGTCTCGGATTAGAAACGGTCGGTCACATTACAGCTTATGGATTGAATTCAAATTAAAACGCGCCACACTGAATGAGTATAACTAGAGTCATTCGTATTCGTGATTTATTTTGCTAATATTTAATTTCTTGGGGCGAGCATCTTACCATTGAGCTTCGGGCACGATTTGTCTGCAAGAATCAAAATCGAATGAGGATGATTACTCTTCTGGTCGCGTTTCCTGTGTATCAACAAGTATGTACATGCACTTCACTCATCGACTCTGTCCTAGCGAAGGTGCATTTCATAGTTCAAATTCTTTCAACACTAAACATGCACAATGCAAAACAATTGAATTTTGTTGTCATTGTAATCAAACTACATACAATACATGCTAGAGATTCTACTAGACTCAAGATGTCTGCCCCTAATGTCTAGGCCTTAAATGAACAGCCGTGATCTGAACACACCGTATCTTTGTATTTGGATTTTTAACTGGTTATGTTACCGCAGTATGTGTTTCAGTGAGGTAGGGCTACGGCTATGTAGGCTATACCCCAACTGATTTATGTTTGCAATATTGTTATTTATTTGCAGACTATTGGCTTGGAAATTACACACGTTTTCCTCCAAGCGATAAAATTGAAGTAGAAGTGAACATGCGCGCAAAATTATTCGGTTCCGGCAAACCCGTTGATCTGAATCAAGCGCGCCACACTCAAATTTTGACTGCGAATAACCCAGATTGACTTCGGATTTTAGCGAATTGAGTGTGACGCCTAAATCCGGAATAAGACATTATTCTGAATTCAATTCACATTAAACCCCCAGTGTGAACGCACCTTATATGATGGCGTAGCCAAATCGGACATGATTCTAAAACATAAAAATAAGTATTAATGTGACAATCACATTTTTGTAAGCTTTTGTGTAAACCACAGCTCAATGTGGAAAGCACATTCATAATTAGTCCGACGTGTTTAGCCCTTTCCTAGATTTCGATGGCTATAGCGACTTAAATATTGTGATGTCGGTCCTACAGGGGGATAAAACTCAAAGTTCGTCAATACAATAAAAACAAAATTGTATGCGGAATTAACCTGGGCATTTTGAAGCAATATATTCCCCCCCCCCCAAAAAAAAAAAACAAAAAAAAAAAACAAAAACAAAAAACATTTTTATTGGCTAAGATATACGACATCTAGATGACAAGTTGTGTAAGACAATTCTGTTTCTGATTCTCGTAAAATATGCCAGATACAAGTTTTGAATCCCCTAAATATACTATTCAAAAAAAGTAGGGGATATTTGATTTATAAGTGTTATTAAAGTCACCTAATGAAACTGACGAAGAAACAAATGACAAAATGAAATGAAGTTCACATTCATCGATTTATTCCAAATGATCGTTAGACTAAGTAAGGCACAGACTGACCATTATAAGGGTAAAATGATACCCGGGGTCAAACAGCAAAGTTACCACAGCATCACAACCAAGTCAGTAACGGGTAAATCCTCCTCTGTTTGCCAAACAAGCATTGATCCGACGTGGCATACTCCTAATGAGACGTCTAAGGTCATTTTGGTCCAGATTGTCCCATTCCTGTTGCAACGCAGCAGCAAGTTCTTGGACATTGGCAGGACGTTGTTGACGTTGACGTAACCTCTGTCCAAGCATGTCCCAGACATGCTCGATGGGGGAGAGGTCGGGACTCAGTGCTGGCCAAGGTAATGTGGTGATGTTCTGTTGTTGGAGGTAACCTGTAACGATCCTGGCCCTGTGACATCTTGCGTTGTCATCCTGGAAGATGAAACGGCGGCCATGACGTCGTGCGAACGGCACAACATGGACTGCCAAGATGTTGTCCCGGTAGTACTGGCCTGTAACACGCCCTGCAACAACATGTAAAGCCGTTCTTCCAGCAACAGTGATGCCTCCCCACACCATAACAGAACCACCCCCAAATCGATCATGTCTGATGACGTTAATGTCTTGGAAGCGCTCGTTTCGACGACGCCACACCCTCCTACGTCTGTCCAAAAAATCAACAGTGAACCTTGACTCATCTGAAAACATCACATTGCTCCAGCGTCGATTATCCCAGTGTTGACGATCCCTACACCAACGACGTCTTGCCTGAATGTGATGATCTCTCAAACAAGGGATCACGCGAGGACGTCGGGCGCGAAGGTGACCCCTATGCAGTCGATTCCGAATCGTCTGGCCACTCATTCTCACACCAGTGTCTGTTTGAAGACGAGCGCTGATCTGATTTGCTGTGATGACACGATTTCTCAAGGCCAAGGTACGGATAAATCGATCCTGGGCTTGAGTTGTCGCCCTTGGTCGACCTGAGCGTGGTCTGTCCTGTACAGATTGTGTATCACGGTATCTGGACCATAGCCTGCTTATGACAGACTGAGAAACATTCATCGTCCGCGCCACAACCGCCTTTGTTGTGCCGATCTGTAGCATGCCAAGGGCACGTAACCTTTCATTTTGGGTAAGCCGACGCATATCAAAATTTGTTTTCTGGTCACTAAAACAATTAAACTGATGTTTCCACCCTGGAATTCAATGCCACAATGACTGTAACATTCAAAGTCAGAGTCGTGCAAATCTTGGGTTGGACCCCCATGATGATCCCAAGCATCACCTGCATTCCATGCGATAGCTATTGGTGCGTTTGGGCGTCACATGTAACTGGAAATGTTTCTTCTGTTAGGTTCTATAGTGACGTTTTTCGTAGTCATTTGCATATTTTAGTATTATGCCCCCAAAATCAAATATCCCCTACTTTTTTTGAATAGTATATTATCAAGATTCTGGTCTTTCTGTTCGCTCACAGTCATCTAAATAACCTTAGAATAGAGGCTATGAAATAAGTCAGACGTTTTGAACGACTAAATGGCATGTCTCCGTAACCGCTTTCGTAACAAGTAGAATAAGGGAGGAACTGGGGTAGTAGAATGAAGGGAAACTTTATTTTTGAATTTTAAACGGTATATCTTTAACAAATTCAAGATAGCAAGCATTTAATTTATAATTGGAGCTTCTACTTGATTCATTTATAGTCTCAGTAATAATTAAACAATTTCTATTCATTAATCTATTAATTTGTAATGTTAGGTTGATCTTTTACACCGCTGTATTTATGGTATAGTACATCCTGATGACCACCATGATTTAAAGATGGCTTTAGAACAGACTTTGCAATCCACTTGTGTACCGGTAAGTCTACACTAATACTTACATACCAATACTATAATATAAATATATAAAGAAGGATACGCTATATGTGTTATATCCTGGCGATTTTGATTCTCCTCCAAACTACATAATTCATTTTCAGAACACTAATCAGTCGCATCCTATTATGGACTGTCATCTGTTCGAAGAAGGTAATAACACTGAGCTGTGACTATCATATGCAAACACGTGTTTTGTACTTTAAAAAATCCTAAATGTATTGACTTAGATTTTAAAATTGTACATAATATATTATGGTCAAAGGGAAAGCTATTTAAGATAGGTAAAGTAAGTGACGAATATTGCCCTGTCTGTAAATCAATGCACGAAGATATTGAATATTTATTGATTAGATGTCAATATACTAGTTGATATATTGAAAATGAATATAAGTATTAATGAATTATTAGGCACTGTTATTTTATTTGGTTGGTCTTCAATAGTCATGTAAAACCCTTCCAATAGAATTATGCAATACTATTTTATGTACATAGTAAGAATAGCTATATATACAGAAGATTGTCAGCCTTATTAGATGGGCATATTATAGACGTTAACAGACCACAAAATTTCACGCGAACGATACCAATCGGTTACGTGCGGTCACGCCAGCTCTAAAACACACGACCGATTTCCTGGTTACGTAAATTGAAATATCGGTTACTTTAACAAATTTCATTAACAAATTTATTCGCATTTGAACAATTTTTATACAGGATGACTTTGTGACGCAGGTCTAAATTATTAGTATTATAGCACAAACTCCATTCATTCATTCTTGGCATTTCATTTCTCCATCTTACCCGTACTTTGACAGATCACGTATTGACCAGTTGCAAGCAGGCTGATTTAAAAATGCCCCCCACCCCTAATTCTTTAAATGATTAATTATGCCATAAATATTTGAAAGTACCTTGGGATTTTCAAATACAAAATGAGTTTGACAATTTAATATGTCAGCTATATTTCCACAGAATTTATTACACGTCTTCCTTTCACTATAGCCATATGCTGTACGGTAGTACCAATGACCCGTATGTTTGTCGTCAACTTTGGCCCCCACCGGCATCGCTTTAGCGATAATGTAAACGATTTTACTGTCCTGTCTATTTTGATATTATTTCATCACATCAAACTATTCTGTTTCCTTTTGAGACTTTGTTTATGGGGTTCCGAGGTTAATAAATACTGTTTGTCAATCAGTCGCTATCTATGAGTGAGGCTATCTCATGCTACGTGCTTGGAAGAATGATTACAAATGACAAATGCAATATGAAGTATGTATGTGGTCTTCAGTGACCGAAAACAACGTGGTAGCTACAATTCCTGGTTTTTGAAAGTCGGATATGATATAAAAACGAAAATTCATTAGTAATTTTTGAAACTGATTCACCTCTGCAACCGAACCGTGACCAGTAAAACTGAATAGCCGTTTACGTACATCAGGGATCTTAATCGGCTGATTATAGTCGACTTCAACCGCTTGATGTTTGAAAAAGCCGATTGATAAAATAATTATTACAATATAGGGATTTAGTGAAGTGGAACACATTTTTCTAATGTTTAAATGGGGACACCGTGGGATTAAAGTTATAAACAGGTAACCTCAAAATATAATATAATCGTTGACGGGCATATCACGCCCATACTAAAATGGGGGTGTATATAAAATATGTCAAAAGCGATTGACAAAAAACATAAATATTAGAATATAGCCATGGGATTTTCGTCAACGTTTATGGATTTTTATCATTGAGTTCCGTAATATAAAATACGGTATGTAATCGATCATGTTAGGCAATCGGGTACAAAAATCTATTAGCGAAAAGGCGAATTCGAAACTATAAATGAGAACTTTGTAAATATGAAGATATAAAAAAATTTCAATGCCCCGATAGCATAAATCTTCATCATAACAATATCTTCATGTTTTATTTTGGTCAAAAACTGTAAACATTGTCTGCGATTTCATCGACATTAAATCAGGTATCATTTCTTGTTTCAGGAATTTTCCTCTAGCGATATTTCCGAAACAGATACCTGTAAGCCGCTGTCATTCATTTGCCGAATGAAATATTTTAATGGCAGTTCCGCCGGATATTTGGTAAGTGAAGACATACGTATTTCTGCAAGTTTTATAGGGAAACAAATAAAACTATCACCCCAAAACAAATATAATGGAGCCGCACTGGCTCAGTAGTACGGTGCTGGCTCAGTTGGAATTCATTTGCTCTTTGGCACAATATCCCTCAAATAACACACAGTATGGCGTATGCCAGTTTTCATTAGTCCGGTTGGAGTAGACAAATGGGACGTTAAACCACATTTCATAAATTCGTAACATAGTGCTTAACCATTATCAAGACGTAGGAAATAAAATGAAATGGGGGATTACTAGCTTAGACTATATGCAGATTTATACCAATAAGGGCATTATGTAAGATTAGATAAAGAGCTGACAGTTCTCGCTATAATAGTTAAAACATAGATAATTAAAAGAGAATATGCTGAAATTTCTGTCAGATTACTTCACTCTGAGCCGAGTTATCCCTGTAACAACAACAGTACAACCGTGTAACCTCAATTGGCATTGCTACTGTCGTTACGATAATAAACAAAGTCTCGATTATCCATTTTTACATTAAATCATAACCCGCAAATCGTACTTAAATCTGCTCAAAATCTAGAGTACCCATGGCATCGAGAATTGGATATGGTCTTGGTAAGTTAATTAATGTCTAATTAATAATTTAAGGCATAAAGAAAGACCCGCAGTAGGCAGATTTAGCTCCTGCATAATACCTGTTTAATTAGACTATTGAATGCTAAATACCATAATCCATAATGAACTTAGAGTATACTTTCCTTTGCTATAGATGTATATTAATTGGCGAATAGATTATGAAATTGCCGGAAAACAGCCTTTCTGGTAATTCAGGTGATACCGCCTTGCAAATAGCCCAAGGTTTTAAAATTCAATACATCTCCTCCACTTTAACCTATATGAAGTGAAAGGGACTCTCGGTATCGCAGTGTAACCCAGAGGGTTTCTCGGTTGCTTTTTCGTGGGATAACTGCTACGTATGTTCTTATGGAACCACTTTATAATACAAATAACGACAGAGAATTGATTTATCTAGGCTTTTCATTGTATTGTTATAACTCTCTTTTAAAGTGCTTTTGAACAAGTTCGACAATTTTTTTCTTTTGTATACTTGTTATTATTTGGCTCACTGAATACTTATTGTATTTGCAAAATTGGCAAGGTAACAAAATAAAGGACGATATACCTACCCCAAACCGGTATGAAGTAAATCCACCAATTCAATACCGTTTCTCTGTAATTTGCTTACAAATTCTATTGTAATTTTGTAATTAAAATACTTGATCAAAATGGAATTATAATTTATTAGGAGAAAATATCTTTACTTCATTATAGAAAATGCACTGTTCGGGAAAGATTCTTCACCAGTCGGATGTTTCCAGCAACTCCCGGTCGTCAAATCAAATGGTATTTTTATTTATACATCCCTATATGTTCAACAGAGTGGAACTTTCTTGTAATGAAGGAAAAACGAATACGTTCTGGAGCAAACATGAGATGGATTTAAAGATTCGTGAAATAGATGCAAAGTATGTATCGTAAAATCTACAACAAATAGTTATCATCTAATCACATTGTTTCTCATGTAGAAAAGATGTCCAGCTGTCCCTGTTGCATCATTTTGTAGTTTAGGCACTTTGAACTTTGTTACAACATGTACGGGCGTACCGTGGACGATGAATCGGGCATGATGCCATGGCCGTCATCATCGAACCAAGAACACGATCAAAATGAGCAACGCTTGGGTGATTGTTCCTGGTCCAAAAATCTCACAGAATTGCCCTCAATTCAATTTGAATTATTTGCTATTTTGGAAAAAAATAAATAGGTTATAAGATAGAATTATATATATACTGTTATCATTCTGTAAATAATCTGCTGCATTTCAGATGTGAAGATATTTTAGGAACCACTTCGAAGGAGCTGCAGGATAGGCCTTTCTATTCTTTGTTACACCCCGAAGATTTGTCTACGTTTGCTGCCTGTCACAGAGCGTGTATGTATTTGTAATAAATACATAAGTTTCCAATAATTTTAAACATTCGTTATTATTTGCGATGTGTTTTTAAATGCGATTTCAGAACATAAATACCATATATAGTTATCTCCCTTTAATACAAGACCCATTGAAATCCCTTGCACTGTTTTCTGCGAACGATAAGATAGTCAAAGAATAAGTAAAAGCTCGAAGTATACATATTGTCGTATAAAACCCCACCCTATCGATGGCACTATAATGGCAAATGACAGCAAAGAGTTGAATCAGGTTGTTTCTATTGTTTCAGTGACTGAATCGACGGATGTTCAAACTATTTATTTTCGTCTAGAAACAAAAGATAAACGATGGAAATGGTTTCAAAGCAGAGGAAAAGTACTGACCAAAAATTCAAAGAAATTTTCAATAGTATTTTCACATTGTCCACTCAGGTAAGGCGACGCCACTAGATATATAATGCAAACTTTTTCAGATCTAGCGTTATATTGACATTATGATGTTCTTTTGACGGGGCTGTACAATGTTAATGATTTATATTTTCAGTGAAGATGACAGCACTTATATACAACAGGAAACTATTATCCGTCAAAAATATGCCATTGGTGACCTTTATCAGATGTTAATCTCAGGTGACTTCAAGCCGGCATGGCGACCATGTGGCAGAAGTGAAGCATCAAATATGGGGAATCTAGATGATCAAATGTCTGTTTTGTCATACACTCAACCAGAAGATCTTGCCATGTCGCTCCAGTCTACTTCCTGTCCATCGAGCTGGCACATGCTTGGGGATCGTCATTCACCGGTACTTCCATCAAATCACGTGGCTCATAAAATAATGCAACACGAAAAGCAGCGCCAATTTCTTGAATTTAAAAGAAGTCAAAGACAGGAAAATCATTACGTCGTAGAGTTAAACAACATGGCCACTGTAGATTGTACCTTTTCTCATCAACCCGAGTACCTTTATCTATATGGAGGAGACCCATCTGAGACCTGTCGTATTCCTGACGTTCCATTTTGTACCCGAAACGTTCAATTTCAGCCAGAACTCTCTACATCTGTTATGTCGTCTGCTTTTGTTTTCCTGCCTAACCAGTCGAATGATCGACGGTTTTCACCAATTAGATCAGTTAATTACGGCTATGCTCAACCTTTTCAAAATTATTATGTTCAAACGCCGTATCCAGATTTGTACAACGTTTCAACAAATGTCCAAACTAATGTGTTCTTTCCCGTAAATAATATCCAATCTAGTCATTTACCATGTGGATCTATTGTCCCTAACTTTAATTCGCCATATTTAAATCAGTATGGTGATCAATATGTGCCATCTTCTGTGGAGTATGCAAATAACAGAAATAACCAGTCCCACGAAAATCATTCAAATTATAACTCTTCTTGTTCTGCAAATATGGACGTTGCAGTAGTTGATACAGTGGAGCCAGATTTGGACGAATCTGGTCACATGAAAATTGTTGAGACTGAAACCACTGATAATTCTTCAAGACCTGTTGATTTACCTTCTATCGGTAGCTTCCTGGAATATCTGAATGAGGTATGAATATTAAGTAACCGCCATAATTTAAATAAATATACAAATTCTTGGTGTGGATGTGTTTATTTAGTATGTGAGTTTGTGTGTTGCTCAGGATCCTCCTACAATCACTATTAAAATTCATTCCATAGAATCGACAACATAGTGTACTGTGTGCTTTGCACAGTGGCGGTACAATAGCCAATGAGTAATTTCCGAGGCGTCGAAATCGCTATAGTTGAAAACAAAATAAATTGTACCTTATTAATATCTTAATGTGTGATTTCTTATTGAATATGGTGACATTTGGGTCACTGTTAGACTTACATGTGGTAATTTATTTGGTTACGTATGCAATGTAAAGTGACGAAATCAGCCCGGAGAGAGGAAATCAGCCAAATCTTCTTCGAATTCCACCGCCAAGGGATCTTTTATTCGAACTGAAAACAAAATTCTGGTAAGGAACATTGTCTAGTCGTTCGGATGGGAGAAATGAAACGAAATGAATTGGGTTTAACGTCCTGCTTCGACTGGGCTAATGACGGATTGGAGAAAAAACGTTATCCCATGTACACTTTAGAGGGCAGATAAAGGGATACTTGAAATTCGAGATAAGAGTAGGCCGTAACACTGCTGTCCGGACAAAACCACCTTAATTAGCTGGGTTGATACAGATCAGTAGGACGTTAATCCCCATTTCATATCCTTTGTCTGCTATACTTTGGAATATCAGAGTTTTCTCCCCTATAATTTATACACACCCTCAATTGGTAATGCTAATTCTACGCCGGTTGGGTTGGTTTGGGAATTCCCAACCGGCCTATAATTAGCATCACCCTATGTGAATGGATGTCTCATATTTCTTTGTAGTCAAAGCGCGGACCATTTAGGGTGGAGCCTCCAGTGTATATAAGTCTTACGTTATTCCTTATTCAATTTTTAATTTGAATCCAGATTTGTATAAATCTTCCTAGTATCTGAATCGCCTGTTATAAGTTACTCTTAAGTTTGGCCATGACTAATCAACAACAACAAAATAAACCCAAGGTACAGATTTAGATTTGCTGTTTATTTGGAAGAACATGGGTTGGCTTCCCTGTGTTTTAAACTGAGATGATAATCAGAACCGATTTCAATTTCCACAAATATTATTTGGCATATACTTATACACACATAAATTAAAATCTATAAATCTATTATCTAACACTTTAATCTTTAACCATGTTTTTAATTTGAACAAATATTACTATTCATGTACAAAATCAACAGGAACAATCATAGATGTTTGGTTGTTGGGTGCAAATTCGATCCATTACAGATCTCGATTTGAAGCCATCGTACAAACAACAACTACAGAGTAGTTTAAAATAATGGAATAAAGAGAATTTTGATGTGAAATTGTGATAACTATATTCACAATATCAAGCTTGTAATATCGTTAAGCTTTGAAGCACACATTATGATAGTGTGTGTTTTCCTATTGAAAAAAAGAATTTTAATTAAAACAAGAATTTTAATTAAACCAAGAATTTTAATTAAAACAAGAATTTTAACTTAAACAAGAATTTTTTTAAAAAAAAAGATCCAACCAGAATGTAATACTATTTATGCCAATGTTTGTGTTTATTCCATTACGGCTACCTTTTTTTTTCAGACACTCAGCAAACAATTAAAATCACATAAAATAAATTTGTTTTCTGGAAAATAAGAACTAGACTATAGTTGTTTGTACGAGTTCATGATATAATATGTATCATGAATGATATGTGTGGGTAGTATGTTGTTCTTATTACCAGGAGCCGCTAGGGTTCACTAGGAGGAGGTCTGGGGTTCGAACACGCTGTTGAAGGAGAAAGTTCCCTGGGATTGTTCCTGTGTGGTTTCCCCTTTTCAGTGGTGAAGGAGGGAGGGGTTGACAAGGACAGCATCTAGTCGTTCGGGTGGGACGAAGACACGATGTCCCGTGCACACATGGCGTGCACTTAGAAGAATCTTTGACATTTGGAATTTGAAAAAAGTGTAGAGCGTAGTGCCGCTGTCCGGCCAACATTTTCCCCTTTGCACACTGTAAAGCGTACGTCTGTCTTCATTAGCCCAGTCAGTGCATAAAGGTAGGACGTTCAACCCCATTTCGTTCTTGTTAGCGACACCGGACATAACCATCAAATCCAATTTAGTTCAATCCATATTGCACAAAAAAGTAATCAAATACTGGTCTATGTTTTTATTACAAAATATATAATTATACTTACGCATACTACAAAATATAACTACATTTATAAGCCTAAAATACAGCATGACATTAGCAATGTATATTAAATTCCTGACGTTGACAGCCGCGAGAAGTCGTGATTATATAATGGTCACAACAGACTACTGTATCCAAAGGAATGTCTTTTAATCTATTTTATACAAATACATACCATTGTGTTTCTAATAAATTGACAGTTGAGAAAATAACTTATCAACGGCCCTTTCTTTGTATATCAATCACATAGAAATATAAATTTTAATTGTAATATTTTTAGAGGCTATCTAGAAACGTCTTTCTTCACAAATACATAAAACGCGTGGATAGCACAATAAAATAATCACGTCTAATAATAATTTGATTTATAATCGCATTCTAATATATTAAATGCTTAAAGCTAATATATATGACATAATTATCTTGTTTCCAAAATATACAAATTTTATACTGGAATGATGATGATTGTTACAGATTTAATGAATGTTTATATATAAATATGATGAGCGTCATGAACTATAAATATACCTATTTATAAATGAATATATACGACAAGAAAATGAGTAATGCTCATCAAAGGTGGATGCCTTCAAGCGACGATAAGATTAACATGATAAATGTCTGTAAATCCATCGATTTCTTTATTAATTATAGTTAATTTTCCCCTTAAAGTAAACGAAAATGCACTCAAAAGAGCTAAAGTAGTAGTATTGCCCTCTACAAATATGTAGGGCCGAACACGTTCAAACACACAATAGCTTGCGGAAATAATGCTGGAAATAGCCAATTAACCGAAGAATGACCGGAGACGCAAAAATTGTAACTGGACGATTGTTTCCGGAAACTCAATTAATTCATTCGTTCTGCATGATCAACTTTGTTAATTCAACAACGACCCTGAACGTTGTATACAGTTCACCGGCTTTTTTAAGTTACACGATTGGAAGAACACCGGACAAAATCCGATAAATCGACCTTTCCATTCGATGCTCCATCGCTCACATCATTAATATTAGAACTTATACCAAGAAGTCTAAAAATATAACAACCTTTATTTCAAACTTCTTTCATTGGAAACTACACAACGTTCAACCTTCATACAAAGGTCGTTCTCATATAATACAAAAGGAAATAGCAAACTGTTGGATAACTACAGCTGTTCATAGATTACCAGCAACGATCCAAGACTTCTGTACTATTTGTTCAAAACAATTAAACCAGCTATTCAATTTGTTCTGATTTCAAAGAATTTTTTTTGGGATTTTACATTGTTATTGATAGTATAAGCCTTTATCCCAACCGCTGTTGGAATAACAACAACATATAATCTGGATGTGATCCGACAAAAAACTTCGTATGGATGTAAGTCTTACGTCTGCCGTTACTTCTAAATGTATGCATTGTAAATACAGATTTAGTTTCGTTCAATCTTCATCCCATCACAAGCTCTACAAAACACCTCAGGACTGACGAAACCAGTGGTAGGTTGAGGTAGTTGTGGGTAAGGCAAGATACTGGTCTGTGGTTTGATGTTGACACCAACTTACACGAGGAAGAACTCATCAAAGCATCTCGCTCACGTCGCCCTGTAAAGACACATCCCTAAAAGTCTTGAAATAAAACTGCTATATATGATTTAAAGATTTTCAAAAATACCATGTAATTATTATACATAGCACTTTAATGTCCATAATATAAACAATACAAATTGTTGTTACATGAATTGTATTCGTTTTGGTAGGAATTGTGCTGACACATTTTTAAATCTAAAATAATACATATCCTAAATCTAGACAAAAGTGCAACAAAAATACGACAGAAATATTCAATGACAAAATGACCACTGTAACAATGATGCGGTCATTAATCTTTCATATATTCGGATCTAGTGGAGGAAATGTGTATTTGTTTTTAACTTAAGACTCGAAAATTAGTTTACAGACAAAAAATAATTTTATGGAATAACAATTGCTATGGTTTATTTCACTGCGACGTTTCAACAAGATTTCGCAAGTCGTTATCAAGCATAATAAAGATAAAATAGAATGAGAAAATATGAATATTTAAAATACAGATGTGACGTTATATGTTTTTACAATATATTACGCAATGTCTTAAGCTCGAGACCATTAAACAATACATAAAAACATCAGTGCGAACTATCCAATGAAATTCAAGAATAGTGAACATAGTGTATTTATAATTCTTATGGGGAAATTTTGTATGTTTTCAAAATATCTCTATAAATACATTATTTGAACACCTCGTCAAGTACATCACGATCTTTGAATGGATAATTATTGCTTACGTACTGTCTAGTCAAAGACATTAAAGGCGCTAAATCCCGATTCTCTGGCACCTATAAATGGACACAAATGGATTACAGTGTATATAATAATGTAATATAAATGTATGCAAACTGATTTATATTCAATCGTTTCTGGTTTTACTGTAATTTCTGATTAGTTATGTTCGGCGAAATGCGCGAAGAGTCCAAATTGAATGTCCGTCTTTGGCGTCTGATTATTCCAGTATACACCGGTAGTATTCTCTTGTGTGGTATGTAGAGCATAATTCATCGAGTTGTTTCATTACAAAGTATTCTGGGACGCGATTCGCGTGCCCATTTTGTCTGAAATATTGGACATCATCTGTTTTTACTGTAATTTCTAATCAGTTATGTTCGGCGAAATGCGAGCATGTCCGTCAATGGCCTCTGATTATTCCAGTCTACACCGGTAGTATTCTCCTGTGGGGTATGTTTAGGCTCGTTCATCAAGTCGCTTTATTACAAATGTCGCTCGAAAGAATTCTGGGACACGATTCGTGTGCCAATTTTAAAAATGGCACATTTTGTCTTAAATATTGGATATCAGAAGCCCATCTTTTCACTATAAGATAACAACATCAATGTTGATATAAATTGACCAGTTACGTCTTGTTTGCAATGTCGAAGACTGTAGATGATATTGAGTTAAAGACTTGTCTCCTTTAATAATACTTAAACGCCGGAGAGCCTATATCTACAATGCTAGAGCCGTTATAAACGCCGGAGAGCCTATATCTACAATGCTAGAGCCGTTATAAAAATGTAATCTTGAAAAGAATCGTCTGTGTTTGTATCGTCGAAGAAAGTCAGATGTATAGCGTTGACCAGACGTATAACCATTCAGTTTTAGTTATCTGAAATACCATGTACATCATCACATTTAACCTGTTGACGCTTGAGTTCTTTACGAGGATGCATTCCAGACGATATTAAGCTTTCAAGAAATCTAATCATAAATGTTAAGACCTTTATCATCCAAAGTTTTAGGAATTTCATTGACAGGAGATGAAATGAAATGAAAATGAAAAGAAATGGGGTTTAACGTCTAACTTTCTGCACGGACTGGGCCAAGGAAGATGGGCCAACGGAATACAGTGAGCTAAGAGGGAAATTTTGCCCGGACAGCGGGGCTACGGTCTAATCTTATTTCGAATTCCAACTGTGACACTCCCTGCACAACTGACAAGGGGAAACCCCGCCGGAAAATCCCGAGGAACGTTTCATTGATAGGAGAATTGTAAAGAATACTATACTCATGGACAAATCAAATGTTTTATTTCTGACAACAGACTGTTTCCATACACTGATAGCTATTGTAGGAATCAGCAGACGTAACATACAGCTACCTCAATCCCTTTGATCTATTTAACGAATGGGCATATCTAATCAAATCCCCAAAGGTGTAAATGTACCAGCAAAATCAAAGCTACATCCATAAAATCATGCCCAAATAACTCGTAATAAGACATTCTGTTGGCCAACTAGTTTTAGCTTTGAATGGTTTTAGAGACGTTCGAAAAAACATCTGCCAAATAGCAATGATTATAACTCTGTGGATAACACCATGCTTTGAAGATTTTATTGCGTGACTTTAGGAAACGGTATAAATGGCCTGAAAATGTTAGGTAATCAAGACATACTGAGAAAATTTGATACTTCATTGGTTCTACTTTTTTTAAAAAGAAATAGGCTAAATGGGGCCAATATGGTCTGCAACCTTTTTTAAAAATTCAAAGATTGCGATGACCACACAGCTAGCGGGTAACTGGGTGTTGATATTAGGTGAAATGTGGCATGTAATGTAATATTGTTCAAGTACTGGTCTGTTATTCCATAAAGTTCATCATTCAATCCATCAACCACCAATTCCACCATGAGTGACATAACAAAATTTTATAATCTTGAATATAAACTTCTTTCCTTAGGACCCGAAGCAAATTTAAAATAAACGGTGTAAATGATAATCCTCCAGACTGCGTGTGTAAATAGATCAACCGCTTGAAAATGTATATCACTGTAACCTTCGGGAAATAATTAGATCAATATAACACTGTGACGCAATGGTAGTTTCGTAAATCAAACTACAAGGAGCCATAGTCTAAAGTTCGCAGACAAGTATAGCTTTAGCTTCATATATTATCATTCAAAGATATTTGAAGTATCCACTATGAGAGTGTTCTGAAAGCATTTGAACTTTGTCATTAAAGTGAACTTTTCGTAAATAATTAGCCATATTCTGAAGTTCGTAGATATGTATAGATTTAGTTTTGTATATTATCGTTATCATACCTCAACGATACTTGCCTGCTCTATTTCGAATTCAAATGGTCACAATACCTTTGATTTTATGCATTGCCGGAATTTTAATAAATTAATAAGAAGTATCTGCTGTAGTTTTATCTGATGTTTTTGAAGTTGTTTCAAATGGTCAAAATACCTTTGCTTTTATACATTGCCAGAATTTTAATGCTATATTCTTATCTGAGGTGTTGAAGTTTTGAAATTGTTTCCCCACTGAATTAATGAATATATATCTGTATTAGAACTCAATGAAGCTAAAGAAAATATTGGACAACATTTTATCAAGAAAATCAGAACGGATCAATACATCACTACCTTTTATAAAATATAACACGATACAAATTGCTCACAAAAATAACGTATTAGGAACATACAGGGTTATAGGATATAGGGTTTACGGCAAATAGCATGTTGAACCTATGTAATCGTTAATGAACATGATGTAAATTGCTTTTAGAATCCCCACGGCAAAACTCAAATATAAAAACATACCAGAGGGATTTAGCCACGACACTATTAAAAGAAACAAAATACCATGTTAGAAAAAAGTGTATATGCACTTATGTATAGCGATTACCGGAAAAGTAATATTTTTAACTGGAATTTGTTGATAGAAAAAGTATAAATATACCTCATCCCTGATATTAGTTTTACTAAATTTCAGTAATCAAAGCGTTTGTAATGATAAATAATCGAGTCTGAGCAATTTAATATTCTTCGAGTCCTTATATCTCTCATTATATCAAAGTGTATTAATAATGATGAACACTATATAATATGGTAATTCCTTTTGAGGATTACCATTATATCATAGTCAAAGCATTAAAGAACGCTGATGATAATCAAAGCCACCAATGTCATAACTCAAAATAATCTACTTTGATATTATTGAACGATGTGTAGAATTAACCTCGCAGGTTAGGTTAAGAGATTAATTACTCTGTCGACAGAAAATAAAAAAGATTTATTGACAGAACTCTCTCCGCTTATTCTACCAACGATTAACCCAAGACAAGCACCATAGTTCTATAGATATTGGGTTCTTTTCACGTTTTTGTGTAAGTGAGCTTGACAATGGCACGCGGTTAACCGCTTTAAATTATCATGAAAGGTAATTCACGTTAAGAAATTCTATTGACACTTGCTTCGTTTGAAATTTTTATGGTGGCATCCTACTCTTTAGAAATGTCGGTCAATGAAGTCAAATCTGGTATTAGCACAAGTCGTAATTTGTGGCGCTGTATGGAAGTCTAAGGAAACGGCAAATGGTAAATTATTGAGTTTTCATCTGAAGAGATTTCTAAAACCCACACTACCATAGCCTACTGCTCTGACTAATCGAAAAGAAAATGAATTTCCGAATATTATAGTGGTCATCACTGAAGTTAATACTAGAAAAAAAAAAGTATTTTTAAAGCGGTAACCCGTTCATATATATCAGATCAGAGATTATATCCGAACAATACAGTAATTAATCATGGAATTACGATTGGTCGTGGCTATTAGAAAAATTCCTTTCGAGTTATATGTTTAGAATCCACTGCAACCCCCGATTTTGACGTAATGCTCTCTCTTTAAAATAAATCATGTATATTTTGATTTGCGGCGAAGCAATAGTAATGTCTAGATAATAAGTAGTTTTAAAGCACTAATAAATCTATGCAGTCAGAACAATTTGTCGACATAAATCAGCTTTTAATCCTTCCAATTGTTAATTATGCCAATTAATTTAACAGTGTAATCCCTGGTACTGACAATCTTCATGAATAATTCCCATTGTTTATATCTCTGCATCTACGACGTCACTTGCTGTTAACCAGCGTTCTTTCGGTAGTCTATCAATTAAGAATTAGATTTGTTAGCGCTGTATTTGAGAAATGTATTTGAGGTCTGTAACATTAAATAAGTTTGTCAATGACCGTTATAGAATTTTTTTCATATCCGTACGAAGGTTGGGCGTGGATGTTTTTTTTATAAACTAATAACAATATTGCTACTTTAATAATTGAAAATCAACATCGCATTAATCAACAAAACAAAAACTATTTGATGTACTAAAACTAAAAAGAAATTAAAAAAACAAACAAAAAAAACCCAACAAAACACCCCCCAAAACACGGGACAATACCAGACGACAATATTAAATGAAGAAATCCAAACCTTGCAAATCTTTCACCTCTCTGAATGTCCCGTCGAAAGTTTTGAGGCGGTCGTAAAAAGGCATATCTATAAGCTGAAAAGACAGAATAATTTAAAGACGTTAGGAGGAACTATTAATAATAGTTGACATGCACCAGCCGCCCCCTTCCCACTCTCTCCACTTCCACCCAACCTATCAAAATCAAAATAAAAACGGGAAAAATAATTCATTTGAAATCAATTTTCGTCATGGTAAAATCATATTAAGTTATAAGCAGAACCGCCAAATCATTTCTAAATTAAATAGTATCTACGAGTCAATTTATGAATTTGGATATTTTTAAGATGAATTTATTTGTTAATAGTAATTCTGTAAAGGAGGATACATATCAGACTTTCAAAATATAGATTACTGAAAAATGATGTAATCAATTATATATTAATTTCCTAAATAGCTGGTTGCCATGAGAAGTTTCAGATAATGGATTCATATTGATAATATTACTTGACAGTAGACATTAGAGGCCCATTCCAAGATTTTATTGCGTTCATAAAACACTTACACAATCTGAATCAAATACAGATCTATATTTCGTCCCGTTTCACATTAAGTAGTGAAGACTTTTGAATTATAAAAAAGGGAAACGAAATAGGATCTGTGTTTTAATCAGATCGAACACTTGCACAACGAAATCTGTGAATTTCCATTTTTTTTATGAATTTAAATATATTCTTAGTTCTACGTGGTTCTGTTATATACTGAACAATGGACCTACCGTATTTTTGAACATACGGGCCATTTTTTATCTCATATAAATCTTCTTCTTGTAGTTTATGGCGTCTTTGCCGCCACATCCGACAACAGGCAGCGGAAAACCCAACAAAACAACCCACACATACAACGGATATTAAAACACCAAAATTTTCTCCTGGGAATGGATAATATTCTGAAAAGACAAACTGAGTAAGTAAAAAATAACGAATTGGTTCCAAGCTATTGGAAATTGATCAAAATATGTTGCATCATACACGTACTTGGGAAATAATACAGAGAGAAAAGAAATATAAAAGCGTGACAAAGGTCACGCCATTTTTATCTTTAGAACGTCAGGATTCCCGCGTGCCATTGTTAGGCCTATTGTTTCGGGACACAATATTTCTTGAGGGGATTTTTCCAGTCAGAAAATGTGTGACACCATCATAGCTCATTCGATATATTAACCAGGATAAGATCTCCTTTAAACTTTAAAGGTAATCGCCATGCCTGATGCAATATGAAAACGGAATGCACACTGCCGCGTTTTACATTATTTGAAAGTCGATATTCAAGTTCTTATATCAGAAAATAACGTAATAAGGGTAAATAAACGTCAAATTATTTAACCCCTTGCATTATTTACTTTGTAACGTAACGAAAATTGTCCTTATTAAGTCGATTATTATTCTATGCTTAACCTTACTGAGAAAATCACTTTCCTGTGTAACACATTCATATATAACAGATCAGAGATTATATCCTAACAATACAGTAATACATCATGGAATTACGATTGGTCGTGGCTATTCAAAAAGTTCCTATCGATTTACATGTCTAGAATCCCTTTCAAACCTCGATTTTGACGTAATGCTCCCTCTTTAAAATAAATCATGTATATTTTTAATTTGCGGTGAAGCAATAGAAATAAGATTTCTTTAAGAACTCCCATCAATATCGCTTTTTCTAAAATAATTTTATGGGGAGTATTGAATTTCTATTTTATTACCAATAATTCTACTTTATATCTAACCCTAAGTCAGTTTGTTTGCTAATTCTAAGTTAGGGTTTTTTGTTAACCTGTCTCTCTCAGTGGAAGTAAAATAGACAGATACCTACTTTACAAAGCAACCCAATCTAAGTAAATAGACACTTTTCTATTTTAGGCATTTCAACGCATATTCTTCAAAGGCCCCGAGCTTGACATTAGCGTTATAGAAATCACTTGCAAAATACAATATTGTCAAAGATGAATCCCAAACAGGAATATCAGTCCAAAAATGGTTAAATTCGTTCAGCATTTACAAAGATATAACGAAAGATTTAAAAATTCCATCAAATCTACGCTGCTCAAATCTACGCCATCTTTATTTACCGTGAACCAAATTGATGGGCCTGTTTAAAATCCGATTGAATCCATGCCGGGAGATTATCAAACGCCGGTATATTGATTTTGCTTTCTTAATTAAATGTCAAATAATCAATCTGAGTACATATCAGCTTCGATCACGTCGTGAGAAATTTGATATTTTCCGAAAAATGCAAAGGATGCATCGTTACCTTAAAGGACAATATTGGTGTCAATCATTATCATTATCACATATGTGATAGAACTGGTTAAACACGTTCCAAATATAATTTTAACACAGAGATCATTGCTACGATAGATGCGTTATGAAGCTTTCAAGAAAGGGAAATGACGAACGCAAAAGGAAACCACGACTTATCTTTATATATAACTAACTCGAGTGACGAGTGATAACAGATACACGGGCGAATTTCTGGTTACTAATAATTCCTTCGAAGAGCAAAAGTTGTTATATGAGACCGTGGGAGGATATCTGACAAGTAAAAAAAAATTGACTGTCACTTGATAAGAGAAAACGAAAAAAAATAGAAAAAGTCCGTGCAGTACCATGTTTTTATTAAGTATAGTGGCATTCAATTACTTTTTTGAATCATCAGATATCCTCTCACAGCCTCACATAACAACTTTTGGTCTTCGAAGGAATTAATAGTGAGCAGAAATTCGCCCGTGCGTATCTGTTATCACTCGTCACTTCAGTCAGTTATATAGAAGGATAACCCCGTGTTTTTCTTTTGCGTTCGTCTCTTCCCTTTCTTGAAAGCTTCATACATTTGTGTTATATGCTTGAAAACGACTTGTGGAATCTTGTTGAAACGTCGCAGTGAAATAAACCATAGTAATTGTTATCCATAAATAGTGTGTTATTCGATAGATATATGTTTATGGGGACTTCAAATTTTTATTTTATTACATATAACTCTTATTTATTTCGCAAGTCTATCAACAGCTTGAAACATCGCGGAGAATGATTGATCAATCGGACGTTACGGCTATATGTCTTTCCTCAGTTTCCTATGTCTCTTTAAAGCTAATGGTTGTGAAATCCTCTTCAGGACACCTTTTCATTATGATAATTATTCTTTTATTTCATGTAAACCCAGGGCGACTATATTTAAGTCGCGATATGAGTGAAATCAGTGTTTCGGGGCTTACAGGAATAAACTTGGGAGCTTTTCAGATAACTTCAGCTAATGGAAAACCAAAAGGATAAAGCACTTAAATGACAACATCACCAATAGAAAATGATAAAGGTCTTTATGACTAGACAATCAAGGCGTAGAGAAGATGCTTTTCTAAGCAAAGTTGACACGACATTTATATCAATTCGTAATGACAGTTGCTTGTTGCTTCGTAAAGGTAACACATATACTAGAGCATAAGCAAATGTAATGAAATAAATAATGAAATGAAATGGGATTAACCATTCTACTTTCCCGCACAAACGTGAATAATGAAGACAGACAGCGGCGCGACGACCCACTCTTTCCAGATCAGGGTTCTTTTATGTGCACGCCAACGTGTACACGGGACCTCGTGTTTTTGTCCCATCCGGACGATTAGATGCAAGACTTTTCGTCATGCAAAACTGACATGGGGGGGGGGGCGCTGGCAACTTTCTCGGCTAAAACCACCTTTTCGCACTGAACATTAAGTTTGGTTGCATTTGATATCATCTGAGCGATTGAACAATAGTTGAAGAGATAACTAAAACGGTTGTCGAATTTGATGATTACGAATTTGACGATTTACGTTACAGATCTGGTGATGGGCATAACCAAACGGATGTTTGTTCATGCTAACCGTGTAGCACCCACAGCTTGTGTAAATAAGCACAGGAATTACCAAATACATAATCTTTATCTAATAACCGAAGAACCCATAACCCAATGGTTGCATTCAAAACGATCAATTCGTCCATTTTATATGGTCAATAAACCCACAGCTTCCATTCAAAACGATCAATTCGTCCATTTTATATGGCCAATAAACCCACAGCTTCCATAACAATTGACAATGCCAAAAAAGTAGAAAGCCCGTCTTATGAATGACCTACATTTTCTTTTATTAATATATATCGTGTGTACCCGTAAAAAGTATTGCCAGACAACCAAGATCCCTCCCATAGTTAGGGAGGAAAACCGATATGCATCCAGCCTCCCCGTCCGTCCTTTCGTCCGATTTAATAGTGTCCATGGAAACTATTCGAGGTATCTTTTTGAAACTTTTCATTCATAAATCAATCTAGAATTGAGCATAAAACTTTTCAGGCTTTTCACACATGTTCAAGGGCGTGGGAAGCTGATGACTGCGTCTTCTTGTGTTTCTTTGTATGACTATTAATATGTTTAGATACATGTATTTATTGCCCACGCACAAACCCAAGCCCTGACCATATCTATTTATTTAAAGAAGCATTAGTCTAACCAAAAACTAAATATAAACAATTTGAATAATGTGAAATTTCAATTACTTATGTACAGTAAGGTGTCTTTAAAAAGCGTTCGTTAAACCCAAAACCTAATATTCTTAAGTTAAAATGATGGCTTGGAATATTTATCTCAAATGTAACTCTAAGTTGCACATCTCGTATCAAATCACACCAAATCTATTTATCCTTGAGCTCATAAGGACATAAGTTGTGAAGTAGTTTCATTGTTTTTGTAAATATACTATTCAAAAAAAGTAGGGGATATTTGATTTTTAAGTGTTATTAAAGTCACCTAATGAAACTGACGAAGAAACAAATGACAAAATGAAATGAAGTTCACATTCATCGATTTATTCCAAATGATCGTTAGACTAAGTAAGGCACAGACTGACCATTATAAGGGTAAAATGATACCCGGGGTCAAACAGCAAAGTTACCACAGCATCACAACCAAGTCAGTAACGGGTAAATCCTCCTCTGTTTGCCAAACAAGCATTGATCCGACGTGGCATACTCCTAATGAGACGTCTAAGGTCATTTTGGTCCAGATTGTCCCATTCCTGTTGCAACGCAGCAGCAAGTTCTTGGACATTGGCAGGACGTTGTTGACGTTGACGTAACCTCTGTCCAAGCATGTCCCAGACATGCTCGATGGGGGAGATGTCGGGACTCAGTGCTGGCCAAGGTAATGTGGTGATGTTCTGTTTTTGGAGGTAACCTGTAACGATCCTGGCCCTGTGACATCTTGCGTTGTCATCCTGTAAGATGAAACGGCGGCCATGACGTCATGCGAACGGCACAACATGGACTGCCAAGATGTTGTCCCGGTAGTACTGGCCTGTAACACGCCCTGCAACAACATGTAAAGCCGTTCTTCCAGCAACAGTGATGCCTCCCCACACCATAACAGAACCACCCCCAAATCGATCATGTCTGATGACGTTAACGTCTTGGAAGCGCTCGTTTCGACGACGCCACACCCTCCTACGTCTGTCCAAAAAATCAACAGTGAACCTTGACTCATCTGAAAACATCACATTGCTCCAGCGTCGATTATCCCAGTGTTGACGATCCCTACACCAACGACGTCTTGCCTGAATGTGATGATCTCTCAAACAAGGGATCACGCGAGGACGTCGGGCGCGAAGGTGACCCCTATGCAGTCGATTCCGAATCGTCTGGCCACTCACTCTCACACCAGTGTCTGTTTGAAGACGAGCGCTGATCTGATTTGCTGTGATGACACGATTTCTCAAGGCCAAGGTACGGATAAATCGATCCTGGGCTTGAGTTGTCGCCCTTGGTCGACCTGAGCGTGGTCTGTCCTGTACAGATTGTGTATCACGGTATCTGGACCATAGCCTGCTTATGACAGACTGAGAAACATTCATCGTCCGCGCCACAACCGCCTGTGTTGTGCCGATCTGTAGCATGCCAAGGGCACGTAACCTTTCATTTTGGGTAAGCCGACGCATATCAAAATTTGTTTTCTGGTCACTAAAACAATTAAACTGATGTTTCCACCCTGGAATTCAATGCCACAATGACTGTAACATTCAAAGTCAGAGTCGTGCAAATCTTGGGTTGGACCCCCATGATGATCCCAAGCATCACCTGCATTCCATGCGGTAGCTATTGGTGCGTTTGGGCGTCACATATAACTGGAAATGTTTCTTCTGTTAGGTTCTATAGTGACTTTTTTCGTAGTCATTTGCATATTTTAGTATTATGCCCCCAAAATCAAATATCCCCTACTTTTTTTGAATAGTATATGAACATGATATTAACTCATTGGCTTTATTTATAAGGTGGTGATTCTACACTATCTAATATCGACATTATAATAGATTCTTATATTGATCCTTTCTAAAGCACTATTTCCTTCTACATCTGCTAGTCTTTTAATCAACAATAGAAATTAATCTGATCTGGACTGACACTATATCAAAGTAACTATATAAGCCTGTTGGAATTAGGTCAAAATATAGTATTCACTCGGGTGGATCCTATGTAAATTATTATGATATAAGGGATTGAGTTTTCTTTTTAAAATAAAACTATGTTAGGCATACTAAGAACAGATCTCTTGGCATTAGACTTTATGTCAAACTGTCTTCGTCTAAAATATAATCGACAGTTTTTTGTTTTCCAATGGTGACAGAATAAGCAAAAAAAAGGAGCCACGGTGGGCTCGTTATCTGGGCGTACTGTATTTGACCCCTATGATGGCCGAGAAAGTTCATCGAGATTTTCCTGCGTGGTTCCCCTTTGTCAGTGGTGCGGGACAGGTAGTCTGACGAGGGACAATGTCTGGTCGTTCGAATGGGAAGAAAAACCGAGGGCCCCGCGTATAACTGGCATGCACGTAAAAGACCCCTTGGTGGCTGGAATTCGATATACGAGCAGGTCGTAGCGCGGCTGTCGGCAAAATTTCCCTCATAACCCTCTGTATGGCGTATGCCCGTCATCATTAGCCCAGCCGGAGCAGAACAGTAGGACGTTAAACCTCGTTTCACCTTATTCCATTTCGTAAGCCATTTATTAAACCCAAATTAGTAAATAGACTTTCGCTTAATATTTCTAAACAGAACTGTAATTAAACGGGGTCTTATGTCCAACATTTTTGCACAAACCTGGCTAACCAAGACGGCATACACGTCGACCGTCGTGCAGTGTGCTATGTGAAAAACTTCTACACGGACAGCATGGTGATTCCGCTTCATTGAATTTCAACTGTCAATGGTAGGTTTTCAGTTTATCTCCCATCCGAACGACTGGACAGCCGAGTGAAAAAAACCCACCCCAACACGAGGGACTTTATCGCCCACCATTAGGATCGAACTAGGTACCTCCTGGTTAGTAAGCCACCACCTTACTCAATGAGCCATCTTTCAAACTGGAGGGGGATCACGTGGCTAAGTGGGTAAGACGCTAGCTCGCTAGCCTGGAGGTCGGGTGTTCGATCCCTGCATTGGCCGAGAAAGTTCATCCAGATTTTCCGGCGTGGTTCTCCCTTGTCAGTGATGCAGGACGGAGGGGCTGACAAGGAAAGCTGTCTAGTCGTTCGGATGGGACGAAAAACCGAGGTCCCGTGTACACATTGGCGTGCACGTAAAATATCCCTTGGCAGTTGGAATTCGATATAAGAGTAGGCCGTAGTGCCGCTGCCCGGGCAAAATTTCCCTCATAGCACACTGTATGGCGTATGCCCGTCTTCATTAGCCCAGGTTAGGAGCAGAACAGTAGGACGTTAAACCCCATTTCATTTCATTTCATTTCAAACTAGAGCTAGTCCTAGTTTCACTAATCAGATCAAACTCATTCAATACTATATTGTGATCCAATTCACAGTCAGTTTTATTTGAATATTTGACTCTATATATGCCATATAGCATTCATTTTAATTGTGGACAGATATCCACTTCTCGAAGCACTTCACAATCAATTAGTTTCCTTTTATATAAACCAAAGCCGTCTATCTATTTGAAGGTGCCATTCATAAATTAGAATTTATTACCAGGCTTATTAAACATAACGTTGCCAAACAATAAATATACGCCAACATGCAGCTGTCTAATGGAAGCTAACAGTCATGGTAAGATTTATGTATGTCAAATAGTCAAATTTGCAAACTAACCCATTTAACGGTATCAGCGACATGGCTGGGAAGGGGATGGGGGCGTACAACGGGGGCAATAACTCATATTATAAAGGGTACTATAGCGCATACGGTAAGTTCGAAAAACACTCTTTTACAAGATTAGAGAGAGAGAGAGAGAGAGAGGGGGGGGGGAGATTGAGATCATTTCGGGACTAACATATGGTTCAATTTTATTCAATAATCCGCTTGCGCGTAGGGGTCTTTATCAGTGGAAGGAAGCCTGGGAACCCGGGGAAAACCCACGAGGATGGACAGTCGACCCTACTCCTTGTCACGTACAACCGGGGAATCGATAGAGCGCGCACACGCTATCCATTAGAAGAATTGTATGCGCGACTCTAATTTCGAGAGGATTGTCCATGTGACTAACAGAAATATCAGAACAAATCTTAAAAAACTCTTTGAGTTATAGAGTGTGTAAAACAAGTTGTGGATGGACGAACAAAGGGGAAGAAAGAAAGCTATATGACGAAAATATACATCCGCATTAAAAGTGGGCGTATTAAACATAAATTGCCATATCTATAAATCTATTGATATATTTTAGTTCTGCTTACCAACACAGGCTGCTGTACCATTCTCCCATTCTTCACTAAAATCAAAACAATTATCAATACCATCACAGTTTAAATCAGGCGATATACAATTACCATTATCACAGAGAAAATCTTCACATGGTAATTCTAAAATAACAAATTATAAGCATATTGATTGGTTTGAACACGTACATGTACATCGCGATACCTATTTCAACCCATTAAAAGGTTAAAATTCTAAAATAATACTTGGAAGTAGATGTTTGTATAATAGCATATTGATACAAATAGTTTTGCTTAAAGCATCAACATGCCAGTGCAAATAAACCCCCCCAATAAAACAAGCCAACAGTGAGGCTGATGTCCCCGAAATAAATAGATGACACATATTAATTAATTGCACATTTATCTTTTTCAAAAGTATCGAGCAGTCAAACTGATTATCAACTAAACACTAAGCTTCATCACTCTCAATCAGATAGAATCAAAGTCAAAGACATTCACCTAATGAACATCAATATCAAGTTTAAACATTCTACCTCAAATATAAGTAGAGTTGTTATGTTCCAAAGTCTTCCCAAACTAAATTGCTTATCGCTCTTAAGCCTAAGCAAAATATTCTCATCATATTTAGTCAAGATAATGAAATATTAATAATAATAATTAATAATATTAATAATTATAGTTCAAAAATTTGGGTAAAAAACAGGGGTTTTAGACGTCGTTTAAATACAGCCTAGTTCGGACTATTTTGGACTTCCGAGGACAATGTGTTCCATTCTTTTGGTGCTGCGTACGCAAAAGCTCTCTTACCAAACTTTGACTTCTGTACTGGACATACAAGTTGGTTTTTAAGAGATGAACGTAAGGAACGAGAAAGTAAAAATTGTTTCATCAAAACGGATAAATAGGATGGTGCCAAAGGATCGTTTAAACAGTTGAAAGTGATTGTGTTAATTTTGAAACTGATGTGTTGATTAACCGGTAGCCAATGTATCTGTTTTAGAGTCAGATGGTTTGGCGAGAGATACAATTCGAGCGGCTTTATTCTGGATTTTCTGTAGCTCACTTACAAGAGTTTAAGGAAGAGAATACAAAAATGGATTACAATAATCTAAAGATGACATAACAAATGAAATGAAATCGGGTTTAACGTCCTACTGTTCTGCTCCTAACCTGGGCTAATGAAGACGGGCATATGCCATACAGTGTGCTGTGAGGGAAATTTTGCTCGGGCAGCGGCGCTACGGCCTTCTCTTATATCGAATTCCAACTGCCAAGGGATCTTTTACGTGCACGCCAATGTGTACACGGGACCTCGGTTTTTCGTCCTATCCGAACGACTAGACAGCTGTCCTTGTCAGGCCCTCCATCCTGCATCACTGACAAGGGGAAACCACGTCGGAAAATCTGGATGAACTTTCTCGGCCAATGCAGGAATCGAACACCCGACCTCCAGGCTAGCGAGCCAGCGTCTTACTCACTTAGCCACGTGATCCCCATGACATAACAAAAGCATTTAAAAGCATTTATCAAGGTATAATGGATGTATCTCATAGCTCTCACTTAATTATAACCAAAGTTATCGTGCCCAAAAGCATCAACCAATCAAATTGCTTATTTTTGCTTACCGCAAGCAGACAGTGTTCAACATCGAACTCCATCAATGCATCCACCGCATGAACGCCTATACCAAATTTGAACATTCTACCTCAATTAGAAGGAGGGTTATTGTGTTTCAAAGTCTCGCTCAATCACATTGCGTATCGCTATGCTTACCCTGAGCAGAAAATCTTCATTATTGAACTTAGTCAACGTATTGATGTGATGAAACTACACACCAAGTTTCATCACTCTCACTTAATTAGAACTAAAGTTATCGTGTCCCAAAGCATCAACCAATCAAACTGCTTATCTTTGCGTACCCTTAGCAGAATATTCCCATCTTCGAACTCCATCAAGGTATTCACCTAATAAACACCTACACCAAGTTTGAACATTGTTGCTCAATTACACTGAGAGTTATTGTGTTCTAAATCTCGACCAATTAAACTGCTTATCGCTCTGCTTACCCTGCGCAGAAAATGCTCATTATCGAACATAGTCAAGGTATGGACGTAATGAAACTATTTACCAGGTTTGAACACTCTCACTTAATCAGAACTAAAGTCATTGTGTCCCAAAGCATCAACCAATCAAATTGCTTATCTCGGCTTACCCTTAGCAGAAGTGCACATCTTCGAACCCAAGCAAGGCATCGACGTAATAAACACCTACACCAAGTTTGTACATTCTAGCTCAATTAGAAGGAGAATTATTGTGTCCCAAAAAGTGTGACGGACAGATAGACGGACAGAAATAGAGGGGACAAAAATAGAGTTTACGAAGATACACAATCAACCATGTTTCTGTGTCCTACATAAAGGTCTCGATCTAAAGTCATGCCATGTTTCAGAGTAATGTGGAGGTTCTACCAGTTCAAGCACTGTTAGGCAACCAGCTTGTTCACATAAATATGGGCACAAAAGTACTAAAATCAATTAGTAAAAAGGCAAAATTGAATCAATATTAACCATATTTGGGTTGTCAACTAATTAAAGAACTCGAGTTTAAATACTGAACATTTTTCGAACAGAGGGGGAATCGCATTAGTATTATGAATATAAACTTTCTTTGAAAAATAAACTGTGAAATCGGGACCAGTGATATTCGGTTAAAATAGAGAAATTCGGACCACCGAACCTGTGCCCCCCCACCCCTACGACAAATAGCGTGTTCTTATGTAGCGCATATTCCATTTCAGTTTAGGCCCATGCCGCATATACCCTTTATCGACAAGGAGATTCACATGGCGTGGTTTGAATGCAAAAGTACTACGCATGCATTATGCAAGAGCTAAATCTGATTATTGCAAGTCTTAATTTAGGCTTCAGATGTTATAGAAATTATAAATTAGATCTTTATTTAAACAACAAGACCAAAATCAACTCTCTAGACCCACGGATGGCTCGGGTACAGCTCGGATTTAAATAGGATTTCACTAATTGATTAAATCAGATAAGGGGTAACCTGATGAAAATACGTCAGTTAGATCGAGGCTAAATGATAGAGTGTACTTAGCGAGGCCGCTATAAAGCGTTTCCGTATGCCATTGAAAACTTTACTTGATAATCGAGATATGTAGGTGGAGTTAACGTCTGTCAATCAAACGATCAGCGAAGGTGAAGACACAATTCGCTACCATTTCTAGGCAAATATTACAACATGTTCAGAATATAGTAATTTGACTGAATTTTTCAATATATTCTTCTTTCATCATCTACTTTTGAACTATTATAGTAAGAATGGCCAACTCTCTATAAAAATCTCCCATAATGTATCTTTAAGTCTGCCGAAAGTGGTATCACTGTAAGATGTTTTATAAAGACTAAGCATACCCTGTCTCGTACATGGTAAGTATCTACAGTTTTCATGAATAATCAATCACTTTTTGTAGTAGCTCTCAAAGCAATTTAAAAGCAAAAAGTCGATCTTGAAGTAAGAGATATAGGAAGAGTAATTAACGTTGACAGATCTTAGAATTTAGAAAACAAAAGATACAAATGCCAATCATCCTTATCCTGTCTGACATCTATAAAAGTCATTTATCAAAGAAGATTAACGCTGACTGAGTAACCTGATTATCACTCAGGTTGAAATGAACTTTAGTCAACAATGTCAAAAACAATTTGCACAATGAAAGATAAGAAATGATGCCATATTTGGAAACAGTTCCAGCTAATGAAATATCTTACAATAGAAGTATTACGTGTCTTTGTCTTTAACCTCTGTCTTTTTTTTCAAGAAAAACTGCTGAAATGGATGGATTCATTTATTTTTTAGGCCTAGGAATAAATCTGAAATCTAACTTATTTCAAATCTTGTTATCAGATAATTCAATCGCTATTTTTAAACAAGTTAAATGTCACTGCTATGATAAACAATAATATTGGTTGAATATTTCGTTTTCAATTTGACATTAAATGGATTCCGTATTTGACAGTTAGGCCAGTGGTGTGTTGTACTTCTTCAAAGGGATATAGATTTATGATTTTTCGTGCGCTATATTAGTTCTAAACCATTGAAAATGACACAAACGTCATTTAGAGCTATTGTCATGTTATTCCTCCATCCGTTACAACGGAATTCTGGTTTTGAGGTTTTGTTGTTAGAACTGTAAAAAAAATGGGTAGTGATTAAAATCACTGTTGGCATCAGTTTAGAACTTGAATAAAACCGTGAAGTCAAATGATGTATTATAATATGTAGGTACCTGATCATTTGTTCAATTAAGGTGACAAAAATGGATCTATGAAACAGCGCCCGTTTTAGCCTACTAGACCGGGGGCTCAGCGCGGTGGGTGGTGTGTGTGTGTGTGTGTGTGTGGGGGGGGGGGGGGTCCATCAAATGGGCATAAAACCAGACCCAACTTTTCTAGAGTAAAATTTTGCGTAGAATACGATGCCGAGTGGTAATCAGCCCGCTGTTGAGGCGTTTTCGAGATATTCACTGAAAGTGAATGCGCAGTCATTCTTGTATTATGAAAAAAGCTGAAAATGATCGAAAGTAATCACACTTACTAAATTCACCTTTAGTCTTAGTGACACTAAAGGTCAAAAAGTCACATTTTCCGTTTTAGCACTAGAAAGATTTAAAGTAATAAATGTCAGCGTAAAATATAAAACCTAAAGCGAAACCTGTTCTAATTAATAATAGGAACATTTAAAATTTATATTTATGTGGTCTTAGCACCGAACTTTTACTTTGGAACGTCGAAAAAGATCTTGTGTAACGCTCACGTGATCATTTTGGGGCGGGACTTATCGACTGGACTACAGCTTTGTGTACACAACAGAGTCAAAATAACCCGATCAAGCAAGTGTTTTATGTAAACACATGTTTTTAGCAAAATGTCCAATTCTGCCAATCCGGTAAAAGCGATATATAATATGTGCTAGTGGGTAATATTGCAATACATTCTTTGCCATTGTAAACTGTCTTTAGAGTTTCAATCTGTTTATCTTTCAAAACAAGGCTAGATACTCCTAAATTTGTCTTCGCAAACAAAACCGCCTCTGTGAAATTACCTTTTATTGGCGCCGACATA